TAGTTTGCAGTTAGGTTTTTTCGTCCAGTTTCATAATCTTTTTCTGTGTATTCTTTACACAAAGAAAGTAGTTCCTAAAGAACACCCACAATGCATGAAGTATCATCCCTTTCATTATCAATAGTTTTACATAAACGAAGATATTCAAAACGCAATTTTTTACTAATTTATTTCCACCTTTTTTCATCAATTTCCTAAATTATTTCATCATACTATTAATAGTGCTGTACGATTTACTAGTAACGTATCTAAAAGCCATAAATGTCAGCATATAACTACCTGGATCTCTAAAGGCAAAGAGGATTTCTTTGCAACATCTCCACAGTTGGTGTAACAAGACTGCTCTTGTAGTTCTCGTAAAAATGAATCTGTTGTTAGGCATCTCGATTTCCCATTGAACGATTCACAAAGAGCGAGGTAAACTGCTTTGTATTGGTCCTGTGATAAAGGGGAATCTTAATTGATGTTTTGATGTCCCAAGGACGTTCTAAACAATGTTTATTGTTCATATTCTCTGTACATTACTTTCTTTTTACATGTATGATTAAAATATTAGAAAATTGCGATATGTAATAGAAGTCACCCTGATATTCATATAACATGCAGAATATGAAGTCTAAATATAAAGCTAATCAGAATATGAAGTCTAAATATAAAACTAATCATAGTGATTAAAGGAAGAAATTTTTCACTCCATGAGTACATAATGATCTCTGGAAACTATTGACAATATGAAAAACACTGCCATTCATCCAACATTCTTTTCGCACTTATGTACATAATGCATTTTTGTTATTCGCATGGTGGATATTTAAACGACTTAAGACTTAACTTAACGTAAACTAATTATTACCAAAGGGATTTCATTTATTGGTTCAATTAGTGATTTTTTTAGGCGCAACAACATCATGTTTTGATAACCTTTAACAAATTTCAAGGTTATTTACAAAGACCTTTTTTCTTCTGTCATATGCACAGGGAATTGAGTTAACGGCTACCCGATTGAAATACATAGTATTAGTCAGCGTCTTTGTTCTTAAATTGAGTTAAGATTTCTTAAGGAAACAGAAAAAAGGAAATAATTTAGGGTGTAAATTTAGGGAAACATTTCAGGACCAGTGACATATCTAAACTCTAACAGGAGATTATTTAAAGGAAGTTTTGTCCTTTGTGTTGAGCTATTTATGGGAAATATTACTATTTGTCGAGCAGATATGATCGAAAGCAATGGGTCGACCTTGTTCACTTCAAAACTATAAATTAACAAGGAAACAGAAGGAGATGGACTCTAACTGGAAGTTAATGAGGGCCTTTCAACGACGTCTAAGTTTATCAAGGAAGATTTAAGTGCTTTAAATCGGCCTTTAAAGTGTCAACATTTTCCCAATATTACACAAAACTGATAAGGTCGAAAAATCTAAAAGTTTTAATTTGTGAAATTCATTTTAAATGTTATACGTCCATGGATACTCCATTAAATTTGTATAATGGGTGGAAGTTTGTGACTATTTAGTGTTGAGTTCGTAAACTTACATCTCCTTGTATCATGTTCATTCTGTCTTTTCTGATGGTCCTGACGTACATCGGTACATTAACTTTACCATTTCTCTCCCCTTCTCGATAGAGGGCGTCTAAAGCAATGTATGTTCCTGTTCTTCCGATTCCCGCACTGTGATTTTAAAACATGTTAAATTTATAAATTTACTCGACAATTCTAGTTAGTTAATGCAATTTAAAAGGCGTAAAAACCGTAATATTCTCAATGATTTTGAAGACGTCTATACATAGATAGACGAAGTCGTCTTTATATTTGTAATTTTTCGCAAATCAAATATCTTTATACAACCTGCAGTGTACTAGTGTGTATTTTCCTAGGCTTTGCGAGGACTTTTTCATCACTTGGCGATGAAACACAACAAGATTAAGTGGGTCAGGGACTCCATGGTCTGGCCATCGTGTGTAGTGAAACATTAACACTTCACGATCTTTTCGCTCCTACAAACCGTAAAAGAAACCACATTTAACAAAATTGTGTAGACCTTTAATAGTTTAGAAAAAATCCCAAATGATTTTGTGAAAAAAAGAAGAAAGAAAAAGAAATAATTAATAAACAAATTTCTACTATTTAAGATCAAGCAATGTTTTTTTTTTTCTTAGAACGGATCATATTAGAGAAAAACGGAAACAATGACTAGGAAGATTGCGCCCTTTAAATGGTATCTAATGTTGTATCTAATTGACATTTTTTTAACGAAAGTTGAATTTTATAAGTTTTTTTTTCCAACTCAACCAAAGAGTTCACAATTACATCTTTTTTACGTTCCAGCAATCACCATATTATCTTTTCTATTAATATGGGTTATATTTCCTAAAAACGTTTAGGGATATATTCAATTAGAAAACTAAATTTATTCTTTACAAGAATTTTGAGAGAGTTTGATTTCAATATCGATTCTAGGTAGTAAGATTTAAGAACAGAACTGGGAAAGAGCTATTAAAAAGTCCTACTGCTTGAATTTTTTAATAGTAAAAACAATATGGAAGCCCAAATTCGACAAGACATGAAAATATTTTATCGTCGGTTATATATTTAGGACTACAATACAGTAATTTGACTAATGTGATTTATTTTTCTGTTGTGATTAATTTTTCTGCATCCTTCAGATAATTTTTTTTTCCGATGATTGCAAATTTGGGCTGCCATTCAAAGATTATCAAATGTTTGAGACATATGCATTCCTTATCTTATGTATTTTGGTAAATTGTATAAGGAGTCTATGAAACGTGTCGTAATTTTTTACTCTGTCATATCTCTGTAACTTTGTTTTGGCCGGGGGGGGGGGGGTGTTACAAAACAATGTATAAGAAATAAATTTCTTGTAATAGAGACAATATAAGAGGGCGAGAGATCAATTTTTAAGATAGACCCTATCTTATAATACAAAAGAAATCATTGCCACGAGTGCATAAGTGAATATGGGATAGCAATCTGTACGTACAACGTTGAAGTGACCATGATTCAAGTGTTTTTATGGATAAGATATTTTCTTCTTTGTTTTCAATCTTAAAAATTCTTTATTTCTGAATAATATTTGCACAAAATTTGAAAAATACTCTAGTACTCGAACTTCTCCAAAGGAAACACGAAAGTATTTGCCTGATTTTTTGCAAAATTTGTTAAGAAATAAAGGAACTGATTTTGTTGCATTTATTGTAGATTTTACATCTAAAGACCATTTCACAATTGGCGCACGAGCACTTTCAAACACTTTGCGATCGGAATTTTTTAGCTTCGCACGAGCTCTCGCATACGTTGCACGATGTCTCCCATTCGTTGCATGTGTTCTAGTGGTTGCATCAAGTTTCCTCAAAATAGTGGACATGCACACTATTCAGACGCGACCAAATGCGATCCAAATTATCGTAATGCAACGCACGAACATTAGTACGAACGTCTTACAACATTTTGTGTACTTGTGAGAGTGATGCACGATTTTTAAAGGTAGTAAGATGAATGGTAGCTGTCTATGCGTGTGTTTTGCGCGACCATGAGAATGTTGCTCAACGTGTCTCATGTAATCTTGCAACGTTTTACTATCATTGCACGATTTATCAACTTCAATTTGACTTCAGATATTATGTATATACACCATATATTATATATAAATACACCAATACGATATCAAACCGCCGAAGCACTTTGCTGTCATAACAATACAGTCAATAATTAATTACGCACATTCTAAACGATAACAATATTAGAAGAAATAAGAAAAATCGCAGCAATGTGTCGGGTGCTCTAAAAGAATTGCATCGCTGATGGGTGTTACCTAAATGCACTCGACCGAGTATTTGTACCATGGAACGCATGATCGCAAGAGCGTCGCACGTCCAATCGCATTGGCGCACGTTCAATCGTCCGATCACCTGATCACTCGCGCGATCCTATCGCATTATCTTACAACACTCGCTTTCATTGTATATCAGTCGCATATAGACGCAAGATATATCGCAAGATTTAATGCGTTTGCATCGCGCAACGGTTGCTTTAGATCTTGCGAATTTCGTACGAACACTTTTTCATATGCGATTATTTCGGCAACAGTTTACGATCCAAATCAATTTTTTTCGGTCGCAGGAATATTCTGTCCCGTCTGCTCGTGCGCCAATTGTGAAAGGGCCTTTATATACAAAACTAAGTAAGTTTTCCGTTTCGTAAATCAGAAATTAAAATCGTATGCTTGAAAACAAAAATGCTACTATTTATCTACACAGACCATTTCAATGATAATTGTTTTAATACCGCTCGTAATATGATTGTGATATAATATTTCCTCTATTGTTACATGTATTTGTATGATTAACGATAATATAATAAAATTTGACTTTGGAATAAAAAAAAATCTTATATTCACGTTCTATTCCATGTGTTTCAATTTTATTAATGACTCTGAAAAATCTTTATAGCCGAAACCATTTTAAGGTCAGTTGACGTCGTATTAAGCGCATCAATAAACAATGTTTACTTCAGAAGGTTTAATGTTTTTGTCCATTTGGACTGACCTGATTAAGGTCAATTAATACATTAATGTATTTATTTCCACTAGTATCAATGATTCTTTCAAGTCATAGTCAATGCTTGAATAACTAGCATTGACTAAAAGCAATTGAAAAAAAACAGAAGGTTGAAAGGTCAGATAAAGTAACATTTGGTCAGCAAATAACATTTTTATTCAGCATAAGAAAGTATTACAATCTGCAATCGACAATTCGGAAAAAAAGCTCAGCTGCTGGCAGAGATAAAAATCCCTGTCATGTATAAAAGGACTGTTGAGATGTAGTGGTTTTATCAATAAAATTGAGTTCATTCAAGAGAATCCGTGCCCTCACGGGCCTCCGTATTTCATTTAACGAAACGATAAATATTTTGCAACTTTGAAATGCTTTAAGTAAAACTACAGACATATAATAATGTTTGAACAAGTGGATGAAAATGTCAATTCTTTTAATTAATAGTTAGTAGCTTGAAAAATTGGCGCAAAATACTATTGTTTAATTTTAAATTATATTCATTCATAAAATAAACGTTATGCACATGCGCATTCGAATATGCAATATAAATCGGGGGTATATAAAGAGGTGTGTGCACAGACATGGACTTTTCAATGGAATGTAATATTTCTGTTGTGATATCATTCTTTGCTTCGTTTGAGATGTTGGGAGTGTTATTCGGATAATAAACTAAAGATTAATCAGTCTTTCATAATACTACATGATCAAAAGAGGACATGAGAGGTCGGCATACACAGTAAGCAGTATTTTGAAGATGCTTCACCGCAAGAAAGAGGAAATATGCTTTTGAATATGTTAGAAAACATCAGATGTCACATGAAAAAAGGTAAAATGGTAAGTTGATTAAAATTTAGATTTCTGGGGTTTACAATTGAAGATTAAAAAAAAATAACATCATTCTCAGCAAGAAAAGAGCGTCAGAAAGTGGCATTAAATGGCATTAAAGCATGAATGTATAAAGTCGGTGGTCAGCGCGTGTGTGAGTGTGTGGGTGGTGTTCCAATATTTTGGGTTGTAGACAGGTTCCTGCCAAATTCTGGTAAATTTGACTGCTACAACTGGTCAAGGAATCTGTAAAATATGCTAAGGTTATTTATATTATGTAAAACTACTGTATGCCCCCCCCCCCCTTTTCCGAAAGAAAATACATTACTGGTCAAACTCAGTTTACTGTTTCTACATTCATGTTACTACATTCATGTATCATACTTTCTGCAACACATGGTTTGAGCCCCTTCAGAGATTTCCTTTAGAGAATCAGTATAGCTGTTACTTATTGTCCTCTAAACACAGATATACATAAAATGTTGACTAATGAGTTAACTTAGCTTGTATAGTTTCTTAATAGTATTATTTTCTTACCATATTGTTTTGTACTTTAAATCTACGTATTGTATAATTAGCATAAATTCTCTCTTCCAGGTTTCTTATGTTGATGGAACTTATCTGGATTTTATCGTTAATAGCTGGCCAGTATTGAGCACATTTGTTCTGAAATAAATAAATTGTTTAAAGCTTTTAAAACTTAAAATGCGACAAGTTCAAACACAAAATGTAATAAAATTCTGTTTAGGAGACATTCAGAATGTATTTCTCATCTTATATAATCTTCAACATGAAATACTTGTATGTAGACACGTTTTATTAGGAGACTCGTGAGTCCCCCCCCCCCCCCACCAAAAAAAAAAAAAAAAAAACAAAAAAAAAACCCTTTACTGTTTTTTTTTTTTTCTGTTAATTTAAATGAAGTGTGGAGCATCAAAAATTCGTTACGTATTAAGGCACCTAAGAATAATCTCGTGGAAAAAGTTTTAGAATTTTAGACTTTGGACATGTTTTTGTGTTTGCTTATCAAAGATTTTTCAGGTAAGTTGTCTTTTGTTTTTCCTGGTTTCCGCCTTCCACTTTCAAAAACAATATAACTCTCTGACATGGCCGAAATAATGCAACCTTTTAAGGTTTAAGACCAGTGTTTTACAATCCTTGAAATAAAGTATCAATGTAATTACTTGTGCTTGTCCTTTATAGCAAAAATAATCTTTATTATAGTCGATGCTTTCTTATAGAACACTGCAACTACGATAACCAAATTAATAGTGAATTTTAATCTCAGTAAGTGGTGATTAAGGTATTCCATCCCTAATAGCCTCAGATTCAATGAATATTAAATACATAACAGATGTGTACGGGTGGAATACTCAGTATATTTAGATATAATTCCCATGTATTACTTTTAGCATGTAGAATGGAACGTGTCCTAATTTATGACCTTGACCTCTTGTTGAAGAGTTATCTCCCTCTTTTTTAAGTAATGAAAATCAATTTTAAAAAAAATCTATATGGTAAAAAAATTGTCTTCAATTGTCATTCTATTTCTAATGATTTAATGCATCTTTCCACCACAGTATTTATTGATATTCTTATTATTTGAATTTTTATTTAAAAAAAAAATCGCCTGTCTCCATAGACTTCAATGCAATTTCTGTTAATTAATTACTGCTTATTTAATTACATTTTTGAAACTTTCTCTTAATAAATCTTTTTATACTGTAAAATGCTTTGAATTGATATCAGAGTATTATATACGTGATGGATATTTAAAGATAGAGATTAAGGACGTAATAGGGATGGAAAACCTTAACCGTTAAAACCAAATCGCAGCCATGAGTAAAGGAATCATAATATTAGTCAGTAAATCACCACCTTTCCCCCTTCTTTAAGGTTGGTCAGACAAACAATGACGGACACATCCTCCTGCCACACCATATTCCAGAAATCACCGATTGTCTTGGGTTTTGGTCCTAAGATAAACAACATGAAAGTATTTTCTATATCGTATTGTTTTCTACTGAGGAAATGACATTCATTACAACTTTTCAGACATACCTTGGGTTGCAATGTAGGATCGCCGACCAGAAGTACTCTATTATTTAAAAAATAATGTTTGGGTTAATTGTAATTATTATGATGTTATGAATATTTATTAGCTTTTTGTTTGATACATTAAACAGAATATTTATCTCAAAGCACATAAAAATATTTAGTAAACTTAGATTACACGGCTTAAGATATGTCATTTGAAAACTTTGAATATATAAGGAAGCTGTAATCTAAATTGAATGATTGAGTAGGTTGTTTTTTAAATAGCTATGAGGAACTTAAATGTAAAATTGAAAAAAGAAAAGAACTCGATCCGAAGTACAATTAAGGTGCGCAATGGGAATATCGGCGACTTTTTATAAAACAAAATATATTCTTTCTCAGGATTGCGATTCCTTTTAGTACTTAACTAATATCGGACACATGTAATTATTGCAGCCCGGAGGACCGGGCTGCTCTATACATATAAGTTTAAGTGTTGGTATATGGGGATTGAGGTGGGAGAAGTTATTCAGAATTAAAGGTTTTCTAAACATTAAAAAGATTGTTAATCAGAATGTTCTTTCCCTTTCTAAATTACGAGACACACAATATATTTACTTCCATAAAGCGAATCTTTAAAAATATATATGTTTTTCATATTTGATATATAAAGTTGCTTATCATTTACTATCGAAAAAACGACAGGTCCCTTTTTTAGAACATCGAATTTTACTTATCGCATATAAACGTAAAAACGTACTTTACACAGTTCGTGTTTTATATTCTTAAAGTGAAAGACATTTTTGAAAATAGGTGATGCATGTGTCTGGTTTCAATTTATATTTTATGCAGCCAACATTTGCTTGAGGAATTGATAAAGTTTAAAAGGGTATCGTTTTTGTTCGATTTTCATTCGACTATAAGTTTTCAAAATATTCTCGACTATCGTCTCCATCATTAAGACGCATGCCTTTTTTACACATATCGAAGCGGTTTGATGATCAAGACTCATTTCCATTGTTTACTTTATTTATTTCCCGGGCGACGATTGATGGTTACATCAATGTTTTCTTGTGGTTATATTGAGGACGATTAGATTTTCCATTTAGACTAGTCACGTGATGTGGCAGTCACGTGATTTTAGCAAAAATACTTGCAGTATTGAGGTCACCTATAAATTTCAATAGTGCAAGGGCATAACCAAGTTAAAATTCAAAGTTTAATTTTTAAATAGTTTCAACACCCATTGTTGTATATGAAAGGTTCTGCGATCCTATGTAGATTCTACTATTTCATTGTTAAAATCATTTTTATGAACGCATACTGAATTTTTTGCTGGTCAGCTTCATTAATTATAGAAATAATTAATTCAGTTTCAAGATTTCAACAGAATCGCAGCACTTTTCAGATAGCTCAATACTTCTAGAGTTTATGATTAAAAGCTTGTCATGATCCATTGAGGGCATGCCCCTGCACTAGATCGATTTGGTAAGACCCTTAGATCATCCTCCAATGCACTTGCATACAAATATACGGCAGTATCCGTTAAGAAATTTATCGGAAATATATGAATAAAACCATAAAAAGGACATTGCATCCAATTTGATGGCCTTCTAAGAATCTTCAAATAATATTTTATTTATTTATAAAATAGATTTCTTCGTTGTGAAAATATTACTTGATCCGCTTCTCACTGCATACAAACTGCGTCAAGTTTTACGGAATGACGTCATATCGACAAGTGCAGTGCGATCAGTAACTTGTTTAAACCTTGCTATGTGGGATTTAACTAACAACAAAAACCCATGTTACAGTAAGTTTTGATGAAGTTTAATTATCTCCTACAGTTTAAAATCACAAATCACTTCATATTGATGTATTTTTAAGGATTGTTAGTTTCATGTGATGTCATAGTTAATATTTCCCGTAGAATTAAAGCCCCGCCTTTTTTTTGTAGCCTTAACTGTGCTGCGTCTTTTTAAACAAGTTATCAATATATGTGTAGCACTAGCAGGATAGAATTAAACAGAAAAAAATTTAAAAAAAAAATAGTATGACGTCGATATTTTCATATAATAAAGGGTATGTTCCATGATGTCACATTTTTTTTTAAAAGTTTAACATCGCTTATGATTATTAATAGCAATGATTTTTTTAAAAAAAATATGATCAGTGTGTGTTTTTGATGTCTAAGTTACTTACATACAATGTAACTTACTTTTCTTGTATGAGAACATTATAAGGTTCTAAAAGTATTTTACGCACACGGGGCATAAAAATAAATAAATTATCATTTCATCTTACCTGGATGTAATTTGCATTAATGTAGTCTCCTTCCTGTGAACTTGCAGGTTTCAAAACAACACGGGAATGATCGTCTGGTTTATATAAATACATATGTTTGAAACATTTTACAAAATAAAAGAATTTTTTTTTTTCAGATTTTTTAAAACTCACAAGGGAACGTAGTTGTGTATCTATTTTTGGGTTTATTGTCTGGCTTCTTAGCTTCTTCGCACGGAAAAAGTTCACCTCTTGGAATTTCCTGTCAATCCGGTGAAGAAATTTATACAATTTACATTACAAGAACGTGCACTACATAACAAAATTATGATTGACATAAATCTATTAAGGATACGACTTAAAAACGAAAAAAATTTAATTATAGTTTTATGGATCTTTGCATCAGTTAATATATTATCATTAGTTCGCACATTCACTATTTATCTAAATTATTGTACATGATACTCATGCTTGAATCCAACATTCTCAGCAGCGGACATTTTGGTTATAACTGTATGTAGATTCCTCACAGGTATGGTCTTGTTTGTTGGGCGGCCCTTTTTAGCTGTGTCATGTATATCATTCATTCTGTTTTCGACATTGGGTACATGTATGTTGCTATTTTCTAAACAAAAGTTTATAACAAATATCATAAGACGCTTGAGAAAGATTTGACACTTGAATTTTATTTATTTATTAAATTAATTTTCTCTGCGACAATGTTTTTATTTAAGAATTTTTTATGTTGATGCTATCAAGAAATAAAAAATAGCTTTGAACTGAAAACAGTGAGAATATATTTAATATTTAACTGAGGTAAGTCATAAATATGTACGTTTTGTCGACGGGTTTCTTGGTATCAATTCCATTGTAGAACTTGTTTCCTTCAGTGTAATCTCCATCCTTTTCATGAATTTTATTGATGCTTTCCTCTTTAACCTTTAAAAATTTTCAAATTGAAAGGAGTGAAATCTTTCCATTTGAAGTCACAGTAAATATTTATATGAATGAGGTAAAAACAAAACCACAGAATATAGAAAAAATAACCTTAATTTTAATCTCTTTTCAACATTATTCCAAAAACCTAGCCCAGATGATTACAGTATTATCAGTTTTGGATTTTATTGATGTTTGGTTTGGATTTGCTAGTATTAGGATTGATCAAAGAATAAATCAAACTGGTAAAAAAATATACACCTTACAAATGTTGTAGTATTTACTTTGTTTACCTTAAAAAAATGACAGCCAATACAAAAATGATAAAAGCAGCAGCACATGCACTCAAAACTCCAACCAAAGTTAAGGCATTCATCGAATGAACTGATGACACTTGGGGATCTACCTTTTCTAAAAAAAAAAAAATACAAGTAAAACATTGATCACTGATATTATTAAATATTTTAATGCAATTTACTGAAATGTAGTTGAACTTCTTTACGTAATTAATATCTCTGTTAATACCCCGCATTCATTACCTTAATGAAAAAAAAAAAAGGATTTGGTGTGGTGCAGTATTCTTTGACATCAGTTATGTTCCTTTTTATGGACTTTACTAATTTATATTTATTGGGTTTTAGGAAATTGTACTGGTTAATTTGTACTTAGAATTGCTTTCTTCAATCACTTTGAAAAAAATTAATTATGGCTTAATTATGCCTTTAAAATTCTTAGTCAAACAAGTTTGAAATTGACTTAATTATATGTTTAATATATGAACATGATACATGTAAACCGATCATCAAAGAATCTGGCATAAAGGAAATACGTCATTAATTTGATATAATTGTTAGTTTAACACATATATTCCTTTAGAAAATAGTGTCAGCGGTCGACGCCCAATTCAATTTTTAGATATGCTGTGTAAAAACGTTTAAGATTTACATCTCTGAAAATCTTTATGGGTTATCGATGTGGTCTATATTTTCTGTAAGAAGGTTTCCCTAAAAATATCGTCTTTCTATTTTAGACGTACTTTTTTATCTTTTATATCTTAATCAATTAAAAATTTGTTTGAGGAATTAATTTGTTATTGAACAGTTTGTACGATAAAACATTAAAGCAAAGTCCTGGGAACTGAGAACTTCGCTAAATGCTTAATTCGTTATATGTGTATAATGAATACGATATTAAAACAATAAAATACTTTCTTTGGTTGTTACTATGGAATTAAATGTTGCAATTGCTGCAGAAAAAAATACATAACCCGCTTGCAATAGCTGTAATATTAATCCCCGTACTAATAAAATTCGTTATAAAAGATGGACATATCATTATTTTGCACTTCTAGGAAACACAAAGTTAATGAAATCCGTATGTTCGCTATATCTGTAAGATTTTTCAAAGAATTGTTAGAATTTTGCCAGGGATTTAAAAAAAAAGCATTATCTGTAAATTCGTTATATCCTTGTTCGTACTACACAGGATTGACTGTAGAGAAGGTTTAACAAATTTTCTGCAATAAGTTGTGATCTCAGATAAACTGTGTCAAAAAATAAAGGATTGCAAAAGGCCTACTAACCTTCAGTACAATATCCATTTTTATGGTTACATGTTTGAGTGCAGTTTGTTGGGCATACATTAGTGCAGTTGTCACCATAATGCCCATCTTGACATGCTAAAAAAGAAAACACAAACACTTCAACGACCTCATAATTATTTATAGAATTCACCTTCTTATCTTAAAATAACAAACTTTGTAAAGATGGAAATAATCAAAATGCAGTATTTAAATGTATTTTTTTTTATTTCTCACAATTGAAGCATCTCATCCCAATGTAACCAGCTAAGCATCCTTCCACACAGAATCCATTTATATGGTCGCAATTTCTATTGTTACAATTTTTACTACAATGATTACTGCAATTGTTTCCAAAGAATCCACTAGAACACGCTGCAAAAATATTAAAAGAAATTATTAACATATGCAAAGCACACAGTAAAATAAGTAAATTTGAAAACTAAGAAGAAAATACTTGCATTCATTACAGAGAATTCCAGTATATCCTGCATTACAACCCAGTTCACAAATTCCATTTTCCTCATTACAGAATGCATCATTAAGACAGTGTCCACTGCAGTTATGAATACATCCAGGACCATAGGTTCCGCTTTTACACTCTATAATTTGTTCAATCAAAAATTAATTTGGATTTTCTGTCGTTCTGAGTCACAAAGGAACATGTACATGTAATACTTTGAGAAAATATTTAGGAATATAGGTCAAGTTTGTATCATATTCATCGTTTAAATGCAATCTTTAACCTAAATGTACAGTATGACTTCAAAGACTAAATGTTTATTACAGGATTCATTCGAACTAAAAACTTGAAATGACATTCATTTATTATTCATGAGCTAATGGATATTTACGCACACATATATTTGTTTCATATTATATTACTGATATACTTGTATTTTGTAAACACACTTAATAGCTTTGTTCTGTTGGTGGAATTTAAAACAAGTACCAAAATTATTTTTTCTTAACTTAATTGTATTTGGTTTTTTAATGAAATGTTTCAATTCAAGTTTAGAAAAAGGTAAATGGTACAATGATTTCTAAATTGAGCAGCAGGAATCTTTAAAAAATATTTACGTATATCACAAAGCTGTCCCATCCATCCACCTGCACACCCTTCGTTACAATTTCCGGTCTGATGATTACATGAAGTGTTTCTTGCACAATGTCCTGTGCATTCTTTTTTACAATCTACGCCATGCCATCCCCATGAACACTCTGTTTTTTGAAAAGATATCTTAATATGAAATATGGGAATATACATTATTTTTATAATAAATGTTTGGAATTGTATGTTTATACATGCTCTAGCATACTTTTTTCGCACAGCTCTCCCATATACCCAGGCACACAACCCAGGCACGTTCCGTTGATAATATTACATCTCTGCCTTTTACAGTTGATTGGACAAGTTTTTGTACAATTAGTGCCATAAAGTCCTGATTCTGAGCACCCTGTTTAGAACGGAACATAAAAGTATTCAAAATTTTGCAATGCAAATTAAACACTGTGAAGGATCCATAAAAATATAAAATAAACATTAAACAAAAGGCCCAGGGGCCTAAACGGTCACCATGCAAACAGAACAACATGGCTTAAAGCACCCTCTTTTATCACCTCACATTTGCCTACCTTGACCTTTGGAGAGCATTTAATTTACAAAGATGAAGTATATTGTCTTATTTTAATGTATTTGTTTTTTTACAATTTACATGACCATTAAAAACTATAAATTAATCTACGTTTTATATAATATAATATTAAAATTCCGGTATAAATCTTTTATTCTATTTTTGTTTCAATACATAATTTACAGTGATTAATCAAAGTTGAATAGTAGAGATGAATAACTTCTTTCATTAGAAAGAAAAATATACATCTATGTACAGCACCAGAGCACCTCCCAAAGTAGTACAAAATTTACAAATGTGGTAAAAATACCCTTGCTTATGACATCTTCGTAACCTGTTTGCCTCCTATAATATAAGGAGTAAAGCGGGGTATTTTCAAAGAAAAAATACATTTTCACTATACATTCAACACAACCCTGCCCTATAAAAAGTACTATAGTTTAAAAAATAATAAACATTTTCAATATATATACGCAGGTAGGTTAAGGACGCCCAAAGGAAATACGTCTTAAGATATTCCGAGAAAATGAATACAGTGTTGATATTTTGTTAAACAGCAGGAGGTTTGATGAATGGGAATTCTACTATCTGCATATGTATCTATCGAGTTTCTGCTGAGTTCTGCCAAAGCGACTTCACATACATCAGCTGTTTGTCACATGACGTTATAAATTAGAGAAAAAAAAATATATATACGGCTAAAAAGATCATAAAAGTTCAACGATACACGGATATTTTTTCGCTATGAATTTGATTGTCTTTTTCTTTTAGACAAATTCTTTAACATGAAAAGTGCTGGGAGCAACTTTCTCATGCCTGGTAATTATGTAAAATTTAGCCGTCTTTCGATAAACGCCTTATATTGATATACTACGCATTGAAATAATGTTAAATTACGGAATAAAGCAACAGAGCACAACCAGTTCCCAACACTTGTCAGAACAGTAGGGATAGTAGCTACATGTGTTTAAAAACTCATAATTTATAGTGAAGCGGATATTGTTGAACTTTTGAGATTTTCGAGGGGCTGTGCCTGTCATTCTATTCAGTTACTGTATTAGTGTGCCTTACTGCGGCTTTACTTGAGGCCTATACATTTTCAATTTAATAAGACCATAAAATATTGATTAATATATTCAATAATATGTCTCCATTTTGGTCAGATCATGCCTGTTTTATTTTTATTTTCATATTTACAAGCTATAATAATAGCTGGATCCACTCCTCAAGTACAGAGAATCTATGAATATCAGATCGTATTATTCTACTTTTTAAATTCCTAGAATGATTTTTCTTATATTAAAAGGATATATGACTAGTAAATTTACATATCATTTTTTTAAAATATATATCAATGATATGCATTTCTGGAAATATTAAGACTCTAAGGTTTCTGAAAAGTTCAAGAGTAAAATTTCACACTAAATCAAAGTATATACTATAGTTAAATTTAGGTAAATTTTTTTAGGGTCACACCAGAATCCGAGACTAAGGTGTCATGATGTTCACAATTTTGAAAGAAGCACACATGCTCATCTTTATTATGCATTTAGTTTATACATTTTATACCCAAGAGTAGAGAAGAGGATTTTTAAAAACAATTAATTTATTTTCGCTCACAATTAATAGAACCATACCCTAAACACCAGAATCCCTGCCAATAGGGCAACGAACATTAAAAAAATGAAGATGCGCCTTTGCTCATCATAATTATGCACATTTTCTTTAATACCTAAGAACAGAGAAAAAGATTTTCAATTATTTAATATATATTTTCACCATATATTTCACCTAGCACTGCTTTTACATCAAAGGCAATTGCAAGGAACTATGAATTTCATATATATATATATATATATATATATATATATATATATATATATATATATATATATATATATATATATATATATATATATATATATATATATATATATATATATAATTCTGAAAGACAAACTTGTTCATCATATCAATGCAATTAGTTTGCCTGCTTAGAATGTCAAATTGAAGACAAAAAAGTACATGAAGAATTCAGGGACTTTCATTGTCTGACCTTTATACTTCTGCCCTAACACTAGATCACGGGGCCTGACCAAGAGTCATTCAAAATAATTTTTTTAGGAGGCATGCTAGTTCATCACAATTTTGTAATTTTTTGCTTGTTTGCATAATAGCCGGGAGCAGAGAAGATTTTCAAAGAAAAAAATGTATTTCCAGTACCACTGACGCTAAGATCACAAAATTTTCAATTCTGAAGAAGCACCTTTACTCAACTTACCATGCATTTAGTTTTTCTGCTAAATACCGAGGATCAGAGGATGTTTTTATAACAGTTTATGCATTTTCGATATATAATCAAAAGAGCCTCGCCCTAACCACAGAATCCCTGACCCAAACTGAACGGCCATGAAATTTACAAATTTGGAAGATATTTGCTCATCATGATTATGTACCTAATTTGTTTGCCAAAAACCCTGAAACAGAGAAGAAGTTTGTTGAAAAAAGTAACCTATTTTTTCACTATATTATCAACAGAGCCCTATCTGAAGGCCAGTACCTCTCATCCAGTGGCCATGAAATTAATAATTTTGGAAGAGGTACCTTGACCATCATAATTGTGCACTTAGTTTGTTTGCTTGATACACAGGAGCAGAAGAGATTTTCAAATGAATAGTGCATTCCTTCCACGTAATCATTAGAGCCCTGCCTTTAAACCAGAATTTCTGACCCAAGGGCCATGAAATTCCATTTTTCGAAGAGGCACCCTTGCTCATTACAACTATGCAGTTGGGTTCTTTGCTTAATATCTAGGAGCAGAAAAGAAGATTAACAAAGAAATAAAGCATATCACAATATAATCTATATAACCTCTTCCAAAGAACATCTCACTTCGGGCACAATTTTTTTTTTTTTTTTTTTTTTTTTGAAGAGGCATCCTTGCTCATCATAACAGACGGACAGATAGACAGCAAGATAGACAGACGGACCGACAGGACAAAAACTATATGCCCCCGAATCTTCGATTACAGAGGCAGAAAAATGATTAAAAACTTACAAAAATATACTGGCCTTTTGTACAGATGTCCTACATGTAATTTTTAAGATTTCATTGATATTTAGCTTACCTTTGCTACATGTCATGCTAATTTCTCATATAATGAATTTCATTTTTCAGGTTTGGGATAGAAAAGTTGTCAATGAAAATATCTGAATGAATGAATGATACGATTATTAGCAGAGAAATTTTAATTTCTTTGACGATTCTGACAATAATTACATTGTACAATAAACATATTCCATAATGCATGCACATGATTCTGTTGACTAGCAAACATAACCGCTTATGTCTCTTATGACATTCGTTATGCCTCTAAAGAGAGGCAATTCTCTTTCTTCCTACATGTTTTCAAGCATAATTGAGGGTATAATCTTCTTTTTTATATTGCAGCACAATACCATCATTAACATAGACGGAAAGACCGAAACACGTGTTTTAACAGGAAAAATTCTAATGCAGGAGTATGGAACATTCGTTATCGAAGACATGTTATTATAAAATAAAATTAACATAATATATTAAGGACTGTTGTTTTTCATTAAATGATACAATAATGTAATAGTGTTGGATTTGTGCAAAAATAAAGTAACAGAACTTGCCAGAATACCGGGTATATATTTTAACTTTTATTTACATTTGTTATTCAAAACCTAGATCCACCCTTAGTTCTCCCTTACCTGTACATACTTATATATATACCTGAGGGCATTGGTCAGATGTTTTGAAGTGGACATTTGTTATTTTGGTTTTTATTGGTTATTTTTTTTTTTTTTTTGAAAGGTCTAATTCTATCGGTTTTATTGACTGGGTTGGAGTTTTCCCGCTTTATTATGACCATTCTTTGTTCAATGGTCGTTCAGGCCAGACCATATATATTTATAAAAAGACATTTTGACTTTCCATCTCTGGTAAGTTACTAATATTATTTCATATTTTAAATGTTCATCCTACAGTATGCAGAAGTTATTTCCATTTGCACTGGATGAATTTGAGATAAAGTTATTTTATGATGCATATTTATCATTGATTTCAAGATCAATATAAAGTATTTGACAGAAGTAATTTGATGTTAATCAGACTATATGTTTTTATGATGATCAAAGACATTTTTGATGATATTGTTGAAAGTGACCAATTGATATATTTTTAAACAGATAGTATTTTTTTAAATTGGATTGTATTAAATTACAGATCACCATTCACAGACATTGTACATTAGACAATTTTGTGGGAAAGCCTATTCCCATAGAATGGTGAGATTGAGATTTTTATGTTTTTAATATGGAATATTTTTTATGATTATTATGGGAGAAATATGTAAAGATTTATATTTTCGAGAGTTATCTCCCTTTGATGATAATGGGCAATATATAAACGGTGATAATTCAATTATTATCTTCACGTAGAATAATGAACATTGTGTGTGATAATTATTTACATTATATTTATTGTTGTTTTATGATATTTACAGGGCTATAAACATGATAAATAGTTACATGTATGATGTCACTCCACTGTGGAATAAATATATTCAAGAACCCTGACAGGAGTTTTATGTTCGTTACCATACCCCTGTTACAATAATTATAAAAACAGATTTAACAAAAACCTTGCACTTTCACTTCGCATAATTCTGTGTACGCATTCTGAATTTGATATCCCTCAGGGTAAGTAACTCCGTCCAGTCTTTCGTTGTAATAGATGACGTAACGACCATATCCAATACACGTTGTATTGAAATCCAAGGGAGGTAATGGAAGTGAGTTCTTGTAACAAAGGTGGCCGTCCTCTTTGTGAGGAGTATTGGACAAGAAGAGAGAAAATCCAGCAAAACGACCTCTTTGTCTCATTTCTGAAAGCAAAATAAAATCACAACAATGTAAAAGCATATCCCAAACCCAAAAAACTATAGTAAATTATAGCTTACTATAGTAAACAATAGCATGAAAGTTCTCACTTTATTTTATCATAGTAAAAACTTTGAATAACTATAAAATTATGTTTTGGAGTCCCATTCCTAACATTATTTGATAATTCATGGAATCATGGAAAAAAAATCAAAGAAACCTAAGAGATCTTTTTATAAACCCTTCTCTCCCCTTAAAATAGAAGAAATGAATTTTCATATGAGGTTGTCTTGCCCGTTAATAGACTGACAAATATGAAACAATTAAAATTAATTAAAAAGGAATTTAGAATTCATTCTGAGAAGGGAAGTCTTTCTGTGATAAAGAAAGAAAAAAATTGCTATAAAAAAGACAATTATTTGTTTTGATATTCATTCTATGAACTTCCCTTACGTAATGCTAGAAATGCAATTATATGAATTCAAGTTAAAACTTTAACACTTTAACACTTTGATTTACCGTAGTGAAAACTTTATTGCTTAGACAAACTATAGTGAAAACTTTGATTTACTATGGTGAGAACTTTGATTTACTATAATGAAAGCGTTTGAACTGTGGGTAACAATAGTGAAAACTTTGATACTTTGATTAACTGTCGTTAACTATAGTAAACTAAAGTATTTTTGTTAGGGATATATATTACACAATTATTGCTGGTATTGAGGTCAATACGATGATTTAGCCACCTGGGGAGTATAATATTCACCGAGCACGAAGGGCGAGGTGAATTTTATACTTCTATGGTGGCTAAATCATCGAATGACCGAAAAAAAAAACCCAGCAATAATTGTTCTATTATATGACTCAATGATAAATAACAAAAATTCTTTAAGCAACCAATGTCTTCATACTTATTTACATTAACTGAAGTACTAGCCAAACGATATTGAGAGAAATGGGGTTAAATAAACAAAACCAGTTGTGTTAATTTAGAATTTTTCATTCAATTTTAGTTGCAATGTAGACAAAATAAAAAGTCAGGCACGTATGTTGGATAGATTTTTGAAAAAAAGGGCATCATAAGAGAAAAAAAAATGACAACTTACCAGAAAAAATCCTTGACTAACTCCCCCCCCCCCCCCCGAAAAAAGAGGAGAATTCCCTCAAATCAAAATTTTATTTGGCCGGATGTTAAGTTTCATAAACTGGGGAAGTGGGGCTTCCATTGTTCATCCTTAAAATTTAATTTAAAATTTACGTTCTCAATAAAGGATGAGGAGAGGGGCAGGCCCCCTTAACACCCCTACCCCCCACACCCAACCCTCACCCAAGATTCTATGTACCTTAATGTTATGTTCAAATGAGTGGAAGTCAAGTCCATGTGAAATAACTTTCCCAAACTCTGTGTATCAATTTGGAATTTCCCAATCTATTTTTAGTCTAATGTGGAGAAAAATAAATCCTTATATTCACCTGGAAGGTCACATGCAGGTGAATATAGCGTAGAATTTTTTCTACTATGTTGGATCTCAGCCAATTAGAGAGATAGGAATTATTCAATCATGTAATAGAAAATATATAAGGTATAGATAATCTTTTTCAATATATTGACTATGCAATAGGAATCATTCGCCGTATTTTAGACGTCAGGTGTCGTTGGTGTACTATAGGTGGTTAAGTAAATCATACTGCGGGGCTTGTAACAGTACAAACCAATGGACGTGTCATCGTACATAAAGATGACAGAGCTAAACCGAGGGGCTAAATAGATCTTTAGAGAAGCTGTCACAAAGCTTATCTGATTTTTAGTAAATATTATCTAATCTATATGTAAATAATATACATTTATAGAAACCTTAAAAGATATATCGTGTATAATATGCCTATGACGAAGATAGTATAATCGCACCCTATGAGTTTACAATCGGTATTTTGTAGAGGTTAGATGCATTTATCATATTTTCCTACATAAACACTGGATTCAAATGATAAATTCAGGTTCAAAAGGCTTACTGATATATTTTGTGATTTATTCCTATTTAAATGACAATTATCATACAGGTCTTGTAAGCCTATACTGATTACATTTCGCTTTTGTTGGTCCCAAATGATCACCAAGGGTAATGTGCACCGTAATCAATAAACTGCAAAGGAAACACACACAACTAGACAGTTATTATTTTCTTTTATATTTTAACATATTACTAAATAAAAAAGGAAAAAACGAAAAACAAACAAAAATAGACATCACACTTCAACCTTCACCATAGAGTTTCCAGATCCTACACAGAGATAAATTAGCCAGTCGTTGACATTGAATATAGATAAATAGTTCCTGATCATCTTCATTGTTTTTTTTTTTTCTTTTCTCAATTTTATAGCTGCAGCATTGCAGCTCTTTGGTTGGGAAAATTCGGACAGGCAAACCAGAGTGCTACAGATCCAAGTATTGTAAAAACCTTCGATTTAGGGTGACGCTCGCTTCGTGTATTCTTTCTTGTATTATGTGTGTTGTCTCGTTTAAATCATGATATCTGTTAATTAACCATATATTTTACTCATACTGATACTTTGTTTTTTACCTTAAGTTTTCAATGCGTGTGATTCTAGCAAGACCCCAACATGGACGTCGGAATGCGATTTTTTAAATCTGACATTCATTCCAAGGCCATATAAGGCTGTTTGGATCCTTTTATAATAAATATAGTATAGGAATAGATGTAAAATATATAGTTAATTAAAGGGAATCTTGCTTTAAGCAAAGAAACGTATATAATACAAAAAATAATACCTACGCGAGCGACAAAAAAACTGTCGCCGTATATCGAACGTTTTTACAATGCTTGGATCTCTCTGGTTTGTCTGTCCGAGTTTTCTCAACCAGAGAGCTACAGTTCTGCAGCTACCAAATTTACAAAAGAACAGACTGGAGGCTACTTTAACACAGATTTAACATGTGCTTTAATAATTATAGCGCAGATAAGTAATTTCAAATGCATTTTTTCTGTACACCTTTTCTTGTTTTATTTTAACCCACTTTTAAAAATTTGAAAGAAAGAACGAGAGAGAGAGAGAGAGAGAGAGAGAGAGAGAGAGAGAGAGAGCAATTTAAACTGAATTTGTTGTTACTTCTATATTTCATTCAGCCTTAATAGGAGCCGTGTTTGCAGATTCCAAGTTGGAAATTTTCAAGTGCGGATATCAAAACAACATAGGCTATTACGAAGGAGCAATTCAACAGCATACATAAAACTTTATTTGAAGGTGTTACATGTACAATACCTTCACACATACCATTCGAATTTTCTAAAGGAAGTCCGTGATTTTAGAAATGACATCTATCCTCACGATACGGTCAACACTCTGATTATTTCAAAATTCATATCCACGAGTTTCAAGGTACATACATGTTCATGTATAACGATTTCTAAATTCGGATGATACCAACAGGGATGATATATTTTCTTAGAATTTGATACATGCTTATGAACTAGTTATAAAATGTTTAAAAATAATACATGCTTCAGTAAAACTATGGAAGTTTAGTCTTAGAAATGAATGGAAAGAATCTGTACATACGATGTGTATTTAAAAGCAAACCATACCATATTCTTTGTAGTTTTTAAAGACCACAATGATGCTGTAAATGCTGTGATTTCCACCGAGGTCTACTATCCACCATACTGTTTTAGCTGTAGAGCTCTGACCTATATCGTATGTTTTCATACATGTATTCCTATCGTCATCAACAACTTTGTCTGGACCACAGGGAGAATTACACGGGTAAACTCTGGACTGCGTGGCGGTTTTAGCATTTGATAATTCATCTATAAAGAACAAAATATTCTTTTCAGATGAGGTTAAAGCTATATATGGCGTATCTGAGCTAAAAAATAAAAATACGAAATTGAGTGCAGATAAACATGATTTATGTTATTTACGTTCAAATTAACATTTTCGCCAATTTTGAATTTGAATAACCTCACGTTTCCATAGTTAAATTGACTTTAATCTGTGTCTGTTATTTAAATGTGGAGTCAGTAAATAAATCGGTTATTGCTTCAAATTTCAAATACCTTTGAAACGTGATTAATTTAAATTGTGTAATTTACAGGAAAGTCCTATCCTTGTATAAAGTAATAAAATAAATAGAAAGATCTTTATAATTTAAGTTAGTCTGAACTTTAAAAAAAATATGCCAAATATGACTTTAACAAATGAATGAAAACAATCCTCCTAAAAGTAAAAATACTCTGTTTAAATCTTGAAACTTATAATAATTAAGATTCTTCCTCACAAAAAGTTACAATATCTAAAGTTGCTATTAGTTAGATTAAATTCTAAATTCTCATTTTTTAAATATAAATTGCATGTATCATACATTTCGGATATTTTTTAAAAAAGATTTGAAATTACTCAACTACACCTAGCTATGAAAAAAAATGTAACTGGAGATAATTTTCAAAGGAACAATTTACTCGTACATTTAGTAAAACAAAAGAAATAGCATATTATGAAAAACAATATTGGCTGTATAACTGTCCCCACAAATATCTGCGTGTCATAGATAAGTTTTATAGCCTTGTTTAAAGCCAGGTTTTTTTTAGTTAACGAAAACAAATGCAATAATTTAATAAAAAGCTATGTGTAAACGTTATGACATGAATGAACATACTTTTCAAGGTTTCTAATTAATCTTTTCTTAAAACTTTAGGGGAAAAATCACAATTGCATCGTTAAAGTAGAATTTTACATGTTTATTTTTTTATACCAATAGGTAAATTAACTTTTAAAAGTCTTTTAGTCCTTTTGTGCTCGTTGAGACCAAAAATACATGTACATATAGAATTTACATACATGTATACTTAAGACATAAGGTAAAATTCGTCTTGTTGTTGTTTTTTACAGAACTATTAAAGACAGGGATGTATTGCAATTTGAGATCAAGTAGAACACTAAACGATCTATAAAAAAAACTGTTATATCCTTTTCAGATACCAATGCTTGAGGTACACGGGTTGAGATTAAAGTAATGTCACACCTGTTATTAGATCTAAACAATTGTATGTTATAAATAAAATTTTAAATACTAATACCTCTGTCTATTTTGAATTTTGTTTTAAAATTTCATTCGGATGTATGCTGTATATTTCTTATAGAAAATAGGTCTCGTCTTTTGCCACACTGCAAGAATGTAATGAAGTTTCTCTCAAGAACTTATTTTCAGTTTTTCCTCAACGCAAAAAGGAATAAATTTACAAATAACATTTTGATAAAGTTCAAATGATTTTTACAAAACCTCATAAGATTGAACAAGACGTATTGTAACAAAACAGCAGCAATGATTATTTCAAAAGAAGCACGTACGAAGTTTTATAAGAAATGCCTGTGCACTAGAAATGAGTGCCGAAATCAGCGTCATAAAGACGTTGGTTCTATTATTGCAGTGCGGCGACAAAACCAAACACTGTGTTTTTATCTCCAAAATTTCAAAAGTTTTTCGTGTACCTGAAGGATATTTTTAGTCAAAATCAAAATAGCTGGGGGAATAAGTATGCAAAATTTTGTTAAAAACATTCCATTATAAAATATGTTATAACAGTTGTAACATTACTTTTCAGTCCTTGTACTACTTGATTGTTCGTCCAATTTTTTTTTTTATATATTCTTCAATGCTCTACCAAGCCCCTATCTTTACTCCTTACATTTTTTTTTTATTTTTTTTTTTTGGGGGGGGGGGGAGGGAGAAACCTCAGAGGTACTGTGCTACAGCATATTCTAGAACTGGTGTAAATCAGATATGGATCCTCAAAAACTCCAAAGAATTTTCAGAAAATTTAAATTCACATTTTTTTTTTCAAAAGTCTATAATATAATAACAACTTTTCTGCATTTTATACATTCATTATATTCCTCACGATAAATAAAAAAGTAGGCTTTGTCCACATTATAGATGGCCGTTTCTTCAATAAAAAGAGAACACGGAAATTTTCAGATCTTGATTGGTCATCAACAAAATTAATTCGTCAAAAATCATTCTGATTCGTCAGAAAAGTACTCAGAAGTTGATATTAAAAGGATGCTGGAAATCCTCATTGACAACATTTATTTAGTCTTCAGAGACCAAGTCTTCCAAGAAACTGTTGTGGTCCTGATGGACACTAATTGCGCTACTTTATTATAAGCCGACACGTTATTTTTTTTATGTTTCAGAAATTATTCGAAAACTTATAAATGAGAAGACGGAACACTTTCACTGGCCTTCAACTCGAAATTCAGATATGTCGACGACGTTTCATCAAATAACAATAGATATTTTCATTCATATGACGACTCGATATACCCAGTGAACTTGAAATAAAACACACAACAGTCTGCCAAAACTGTGTCATATTAGGATGTTTTACTGACTATAGGCCAATAACAACTAAACTGCATGAATAACAAGATGACTTCAGATTTTCCATTGTCAACTTTTCTTATTTATGTAGTAATATTCCGCTATCACCTGCATAGGGTGTTTACATGTATGTCTCCCTACTAATTTGCTCCTCAAGAGCATGCTCTGAATACGATCAATTTTTAAACCTAGGCAGTCTACTCACAAGTAAGTTACAGGGATTTCAACAAACTCGTTTAAAGTCAGCATTTCGTAAATTCTTTGGGGGTTTAATGACCTTATTGGCAAATATAACCAATCACTTGGTCGTATTTTGGCTGTTTTTTTCCATACAAATTTTAGGCCATTGCTTTTGTACTGAATTGAACACGAAATGTCCCGTCTACTTGATCAGTACATAGGTCTCAGGGCGGGTATGTCAACAGGGTTGCTTACTCCTCCTAGGCACTTATTCCCACGCAGCTAGGTTAAGGACTCTAACACAAACATCAGCCTAAGCAGAGGTTCGGGAAAACAATTATGACGTCACTTTAAAACAATGCAAATGAATTTCGATGAATGAATGGTGATGTTATTTTTCCTACACACTCAAATACTTTCGTTTCCAATAAATAATGTAAATCTAAATATCTCGCCAAAATAACACTATCCGAATGTAGAATGAGATTCAGCTTTATCTCGCTGTACTGAGTAAGATGACATCACTGACTGGTTTAACTCGCAGTTTCTCTGTACTTGAAACGTGGATCAACCTATTATCCTATGAAAATGAAACAAGCGTGATTTGACCGAAATGGAGACATATTCTGCAATGCATTAAGGAGGAGAAGGACCTTGAGCTGAAAAAAAACTTGTCATTCATTTTTTTCATATTTTGTATCTTTCTAATTAAGTATGTCCCACATATCTTAAAGCAGTTATATCATTAGGTTTCTTACCTTATTTTGGAGATATTGATTGACAAATACTATGCCATGCCGTATCTTAGTGGAATTTTAATTCTCCATGTTTCCGGGCTCATTACTCTGTCCATAATGGGAATTTTTAAGTATCAAAAAAAAAGTATCAAAGTGGACAACCGTTCACGGTAGCTCAGTCGGTAGAGCGCTCGCTCCCTGATCGGGAGGTCGTGAGTTCGAATCTCGGCCGCGACAGACCCAAGTCGATAAAATGGGTAGCAACTGTTCCTTCGCCATGCGCTCGGCACTTTGAAGTGAAAGTTGCGGGTCTTTCGGATGAGACCTTAAAAACCGAAGCCCCTTGTCACGGTAGGCGTTGGCACGATAAAGATCCCTCACTGCTCAATGGCCCTGAGTGCCGAGTAAAGGTCAAAATTTGTAGGCCCTTCACCGGTATATGGTGACGTCTCTATATGAGTGAAAAATTCTCGAATGGGACGTAAAACAACATACAATCAATCAATCAATCAAAGTGGACATGTATCTTTTAAATTATTTCAGAGTATAACTAGGATTTAACATTCGAAAAAGCAAGTTTTTTCTATCACACTGCATCTGGATAGGGAAAATTACGCACTTTTTAAGACAACTTAAACAAAAAAAACGTAATTTACAAAAAATTCTATCATTCAATATTTTCTTTGATTTACGTCGAAATGAAAATCCTTCAAATTATTGATTAACTGTAAAAAAATCGAATGATGAAGCTGATCTCATTATTTCACAGGACATCGTTAAAGAGGACATAAGCATGACAAAAAAGTGTCATGTTACATTTTTCGAGCACGGGAAAAAACAACTATGACGTCACACGTAAGCTAAATAAGCGAAAGAAGATATACACAGTCATGTACCTACATATGATTTCCGTCATCAGCCATGCAAAAATAATTTTGGTGTTCCCCGTTTCTGAAAATATTTCATCATATACTGATTATGACCTGTTTTGACATAATAATACCGCCCCTGTGTTCACCGAGTATGATCTTGCTGTACTAACAGGTCGTGTATGACGTCATCGACTTGTTGGACGCGCAGTTTAGGGAAACAGAGGAGTGGATCAATCTTTTTCATAATTTGTTAATGTTCACAAGAATTTTAAAACTTTTTTTTTTTATTTTTTATATAAGATGGTAATTAAAGTTAAAAAATGTCAAAAAATTATACAAGAATTGGTGCTTTACACGTTTTGCACTTATATAAACGGAGACTATGATGTAGTTAAACAGAGTCATGTGACCATGTGTCCTTCATCCCCTTAATCAATATTTTATAGTCCAATTGAATTGAAAATGTATAGACCTTGTATAAAACTGTAGTAAGGCAAACTTGTACAGTAACGTACTAAAATGACAAGCACAACCCCT